TTCGTGGAAAGTTGTGAAGACGATGTTGTTTATTTGTATCACATAATATACATTAAAAAAATAAAGAAACAGTAATTGTTTCATAGGTTAAATATATTTTCGATANTAAAATGGATTTGATTGATAAAATTGACAAATAGTCTGAGTGTTGATATAAACACAAAATTTGAGACAANTGGTCTAAAGCTTGGACTANCTCTAGAAAATTCGTGCTCTAAATTGTTTGAAAACCAATCTCTGATGATGGAAGAATACATACTACGGGTATATTTCCTAAAGAATTTGCAAAAAATACAAACAAAGATAAAAAAAGATCAATAAAAAAGATTATATTCAACACATAAATATTTTATATGTATTCAATATNNATTTTGTTTAATACTATTATTTCGAATGTTCAAACTATATTTCACTAAATAAAATGTATAAGATANTAGAAATAATATCACGTCNATTATTATTTAATATCTTTTCATTGGTGTTTCAGTTAGTGTTGTTAAAATATCGTTTTCCCGCGCATTGGCGCGGGTACTGCCTAGTAATGTGTATATGTGACAAAAATGCCTTTGATGAAAAGAGAAGGGATTTTACCAGATCTACATTATATGACATAGTTACATTGTTTTACATAGTATAGAAAAATAAAAGCTCAGATCTTCTGTTTTTACACAAATAAGATTCACATATATATTTTTAATTATATTGATTTTTGCTCCAAAAAGAGCACCGGGACAGTTACAACTCCGGTTAACCGGAACCGACAAACTTAAAAACACACACAGATCTCGCTTGAAAGAATTTACCTACTCTAAACTAAAGAAGGATCTACTGTGGGAAAAGACTCAAACAATTGACTCCATTTCTACGCTGTTAGCTAACGCTTCTATCCACCGGAATATTCGACTCCAGCCTTCGAGACGACCTTCGACAAGTTTTCGGCCGACTCATTCCGAAGGTTCCATTTAAGTTAGATACGGAGAACCCCACTGCCACACTGCCGATTAGATCTTGAAGAGAAATCGACGCACATACCACTAACCCTCGATCTAAGGAGACTCCTCTCCACCGCCATCAATAATCAGAGCCGTGCCATAGTAGGAACAAAAATAAGCATTGGCCTAGGGCATCAAAATAAATTTAAAAATATTCAAGGGCATCTTTTACTCTTAGTTTTATTTAGTTAGTACATTATTAATTATAATTTCGTGGGTAAACAAAACATGAACTCAAGATATAAACATTTCATATTTTTCTTAAAAGAAAACAATAATTTATTGTTAAAATATTAAGATAAACATAAAAGTTTGTTCTATCTTATATATGTCATGTTATATTCAAAATGCTAAAATTGTAAGTTTTACACTGATATAATTTTTCAATTCATGTTTTTCCGGTGAATTATCATCATTAAGATGAATTACTAATTTTTATCCGGTAAAACCTGATTTGGATATCTTAGCCGTTAAAAGAGAATTAGTAAAAAATGTTGAATTATTTAGGTTTTCTTCTTTATTTATGACAATGAAGCTTAACGATTTTCTTTATGAACTAAAGTTTTTATTTTTTTTTCGTTTAGGGCATCCACCAACGTTATCACCGCTCAGTCAATAACCACCAAAGATCTTGAACACATACTTTAAGAACAACCATCCTCACATATTTTATATTTTTTTGCAACTTTTCCTCCAACTTGTACTCAATTTTTTTGTTTAAAAAAAAAATTTACTCATTTGGCTGAATCATCAACTTTTTTTTCCGTCTGAAAGTTTTTTATTGATATTACTATTAACTGAGATTACAAAACGAGATTTCAAAGCGGAGCCCAAAACAAGGGGAGCGAAGCCCAAACATGGGAGCGAAATCCAAATAAGGGGAGCGTATTACATTAAACAGAAACTAAAAACCGGAAATAGATAAGATTAAAACTTATTGTGGTGACAATACTAAAATAGAGATCGAACATAAAGAAACCCAAGGGTCATCATACCAATATTGCGTCTACTCGGAGCCCATGTAAAACCTTTGACATAGAAAATCAGATAACACACCGATAATCAGAGACCTCCTATAGTAAAAAAGATATATCTATGAATTCCAGATTTCCTTATCTTCATAATCCGGTAAGAATGACAAGTTAACAAAACTTTCTCCCGGATGGGGTCATACAAAAATCAGCAACCTGAATCAGCAACCTATATTCACGTGTGTTGGGATGAAAAAGGGCAATTTCGGCGAATGATCTTTTGCCATGGTTAGTCTCCTCATTATCTTTATTACATAGTTAATATACTAAGTATATAATTTAAAATTTTGCTAGTTGCCTAATTAAACCTTTATCTAATTCTTGGTCCAAAACAAAAAAGTTTTCATGAATGTCGTTACCTAGTTTTTCACTTGTCTAACCAGTAACCAATAATTCTAACAAATAAAAATGGGAATGAACCAAATTGTACATCCGAATTAAACCGAAGCGAACCAATCCAAACCAATGTCCGAATAAGGAAAGAAAACACAAAGGTGCACGTACACCGTAAGAATATTCAACCAGTCAACAACTTAACTTCAACTTTGGATTGTGTGGCAAACAAATCTTCCGTGTAACAATAACACAACTCACGTGTCCCAACTAAGTCAAGCTCCAAATAGAAATTCGAGACCCAAACCATTCAATATATATACATAATAATCCCCACAACACACCAAAACACACTATTAACAACAAGTCCCAAAATCTTATCATCCCATTCCTAAATCAACCAACCATGGACTCCGAGATCATTCTCGACGCCGCTCCTTTCCTCAAACTCTACAAAAGTGGCCGCGTCGAACGTCTCATGGGGGAAACCACCGTCCCAGCGTCTTTAACCCCACAAAACGGCGTCGTTTCGAAGGACGTCGTTTACTCTCCCGACAACAACCTCTCCGTCCGCATTTACCTCCCGGAGAAAGCCGTCGAGACCGGCGAGAAACTCCCTCTCCTCGTCTACTTCCACGGCGGTGGATTCATCATCGAAACAGCTTTCTCTCCGAGTTACCACACTTTCCTCTCGGCGGCCGTCTCTGCCTCCGACTGTGTAGCGGTCTCTGTGGATTACCGGCGTGCACCGGAGCATCCGATTCCGATCGCTCACGATGATTCTTGGACGGCTCTCAAATGGGTATTCTCCCATATCACCGGATCTGGCTCGGAGAGTTGGTTAAACAAACACGCGGATTTCACCAGAGTGTTCCTCGCCGGAGACAGCGCCGGAGCGAACATCTCTCATCACATGGCGATGAGAGCAGCGAAAGAGAAACTCAGTCCCGAATTGAGTGATTCATCATCAGGAATCTTGGGAATCATCTTGGTTCATCCTTATTTCTGGTCGAAAACTCCAGTGGACGACAAGGAGATCAAGGATCCGATGGTTAGGGGTAAGATCGATGCGATTTGGAGAATGGCGAGTCCAAATTGCAAAGACGGGTCGGATGATCCGTGGATCAACGTGGTGCAATCAGAGTCGGTGGATTTATCAGGATTGGGTTGCGGTAAGGTTTTGGTAATTGTGGCTGAGAAAGACGCACTTGCAAGGCAAGGTTGGGGTTACACGGCGAAGCTTGACAAGTGTGGCTGGAAAGGAGAAGTTGAAGTGCTGGAGAGTGAAGGAGAAGAACATGTTTTTCATTTGACGAAACCTGATTGTGAGAAAGCTATTGAAGCCATGAAGAAATTTGCAGGGTTTATTAAGGGAGACAAGCACTAGTAGTTGCTTGTGTGATGCAGAGAGAGAGAGAGATCTTGAATAATTTGTCTTTTTTTTTATAGATGTCTCTCAGTCTCTGTAATGTTATAATACCTATTGCGAGATATGAAGGAAGAAGTTTTCACTTTTCAGTTTTCAGCATTATCATTCATCATCATATAGAGAGTTTGAAACACAAGGATATGAATTTAACAAAAACAAACGGAGAAGACAACAATTTGAAACACAGCTTTGCTTTTTTGTTGTTGTTCCGCAGCTACTTATTCAGACCAGATTCAAAAAAAGAAAGAGAAGATGAAGCTTCTAAATGAGGGAAGTAGCCAGAAACCTGGAAAAGGAAAGGCTTTCTAGACGGCAATCCCAATGGATTTCTTGAACTTCTCAACCTCAAGATAGACAGTTGAGTAAGGTAAGAACTCGGAGAAGTAATCTCCACTAAGGTGGTTAATGGCAACAGCGAGTTTCGGGATCTCCAAGGTTTCTTCATTGGTGAGTGTTCGAATAAACCTTGCTGGATTGCCTCCCCAGAGTTCACCTGATGGGATTCTTCTTCCTGGTGGCACAACAGAACCAGCTTCCAGGATTGACCGGGTCTCGACCAGTGAACCTTCCATCAGTATCGAGTGTTGCCCGATGATACATTCGGGTTCGATAGTGCACGATCTTAAAAGACTGTATGCACCAACTGTCACGTACCTATCGATCAATGTTTCTGCTGGCAATCCTGGAAATTCCAAAGTATAAAGTAACTTTAATGATCAGTTTTTTTTTATCTATCATACCAACATTCAAAGCCAGCACCAAGAGATGCTCTACCCTTCAAAATGTTAGTAAAAGTAAAAGCATGAAGACTGTTCAACAATACAGAGATACTGTCAATAACAAGACCTGGGAAATGGTGAATCAAGTAATTAAGTAGTAGTTGTACAATGCAAAGATAACTAGAGCCTAATTAAACCAGGAGATTTTTCTACTTCAGAAATTTTGACATGGAATCAACATTGGTCAGAGTACAAGAAGCTCAGACTCATTAAGCTTGATGCAGCTTAGAATATCGGTTCCAGTCACAAAGTTGAAAATCAATTCTTGTGGAGAATTCTCTTTGTAGAACTATAAATCCCTACAAGGACACTGTTGCAGTACTTTTCTAGAGCATCTAAGCAACTTCTAATTACTGCAACAAGGAAGTATTTTGTGGTGTTATCCATCATAATAATATTTTCAACTCATGAATAACCTGAAAATTAAGATTAAGCACAAGTCTTCAATGATTTTCCTGTTTCCAGTATCACTAATCACTTAAATACCTACCCCTTTCGATGCATCCTTGTCTAATTAAGCCAAAAATGCTCAGAAGAGTATCTTTACCAAACAACAATCATTAAGGATACTTGATCTAAGAACATCTTCATTCGAAACACACTATTTGTGCAAAACCAATATGCATACTTAAACATCACTACTTCAGAGAAAAGTGAAAAACAAAAATCCCCTCAAATGTGACCTATATCTTTCAGTAATCTAAACGGACGATGAAAAAGAAACCCTAAATTCCAATCCTCAGTGATTCCATTTCGCTAGCAGGCAGTAACTACAGAAATTGGATATCCAGAACTCAACATCTAATAGAAAACACATAACAATTTACATTGGAATCATACAGAGACTCAAATTCAGATAAACAAGGAAGAACACGAACCTGTAGGGGACGACCACGCGGCATGAACAACACACCGTTCCTGTACATTCGAACAGAATCCAACCGTGATCTTGTTGAGATCTCCTCTCAAAACGGCACCGTTCCAAACGGACGATCCATCCCAGACGGTGACCTGACCAGCCAGCACGACGTTAGGTGCCACGTAAGCATCAACGGCGACCTTCGGTAGCCACTGACCCAGAGGAATGATCTGTCTTTGGCCTCTGTAGTCCCATTTCACCCGATCCGGAGACGGCGTCACCTCCGATTTCGGCTTAGGCACTTCCGTCGTCGTAACCGCTACAGCTTCCGCGGCGAAGTAACGCCGAATCAGATTCGAAGAAACAGCCGAGGTTACGCCTCTTCTAGAGATTCGAGCTAACGACGTCGCCATTGCTATGGAATCAGGATTCTTCAAGGATTTGTG